GATTCCGAGTTGGACTCATCTCATCCTCAGGGAGGCAGGAAAGCGCAGGGTAAGCTCCGGGTCACTGCACCCACGCTGGTGTCACAACCAGGAGCCGCCTTCACGGGCGCCCGCCCCACCTCTAGGGCTCCAGCCCAGTATGTGCTAGGTGGCTGCTGAGTCCCTTCTTGCTCCTTCTCGTTCTTTCCACAAGGGTGAGAGCTAGCATATCTTATGAATACCCCCCCACACACACTTTTCTTATAGACAGGGAGACTGAGAGCACAGGGGAAAAGGAATCCAGTACAGGTCACCAAGCAAGAGAGTGACCTGGGGTCTGACTGAAGGTCACAGGCAGGACAACAGGTACCTCAAGACTGCTGAACTCCAGTGCCGCCTGATTGGAGTCATAGACATTTATCCTGTGCTGACTGGGGCCCCTCACCTGTCTGCGGGTACTAAGCAGAGGCCATAGCTCATTGGCCCCAACTGGCTTAGACTCCAGTATTGGGGTATCTAGGAGGGCTCTGGGACTAGGAGCAGGGATCCCCACCCCTACCCCCAGATCAAGCCAACCACCTTCAGGGTCTTCCTGTCTCCAGGTTCAACCCAGACGAACAACCTCCAAGAAGCCTTTGTGACCTGCCCCTGGCCCCTCTCGACCCCCTGTCCTTCATCCCTGCATGGCACCTCTGCCAGAGCTCCTTATCCTGAATCATCCCCTGAATCCTACAGAATGAAGCGTCCCCGGGGTCCTTCACTGATGCAGAGAAGTTCTCCAGTGAGGGAACGAGCTGGGGCAAAGGAAAGAATTTTCTCCCTGTGGGCCTCTGCCAGAAGGCCACTGGCACCCCAGAGACTAAGCGCTTGGTACAGATAAAATCCTCCTTTCCCCTAGATGGGCCTCGCATGTCTTCCTCCCTGCGTGTTCTCTTGTCCCTGCCAGCGGCCCCTGTCTGCCCTGTGGCCCTCCTCATCCCGGCCTCACCAGGGAGAACACCACTCCAATTCCTCCCTGTCACCGAGCCAGCCTGGAGTAGGGGTCCTCGGGCCCTCTGCCTGCCCACTGTGGCTTTCTGTCCTGTCACCGTGGTGAGAACCAGGGCTGCTGGCGGAGTCTCCCACGATGGAGTCCTCAGAAAGAACGACCACTCTCCCACACGCAGCACACAGCCGCATGTGGACGCGTGCCCTGAATCTCAGCGGAAAGAAGTAAAAGGGGGGCATGTGGGCCCAGGAAGGACAGGGAAGTGGCCCAAGGTCACACAGCTGGGGAAGTATCACATCCAGCATGAGGAGATGGGAGGGCACACTCCAGGGCCTGTTCGGGAGAGGGTGCGCGGTCACAGGGGCCCGCGGGGGCGTGTCCCAGCTGGAGGAACTTGCCGGGGTCTGCAAGCGGGCAGGGCTCTGTCCTCTCTCCCAGGGCTCCCACAGGACCCACCCCCACCCTGGCCCCCCAGGCCCTGGGTCACAGTGGGCTGACCGAGCCTAAGAACACCAGGCAGGGATTTTCAAACACACATCTCCACACGGTGGCACTCAAAGAGATCAAAATGCATTTAATGTGGTCTAGTCTCGTGGCCTATGTCTTTAGATACCGCTATGTATTGAAAATAACATGAAAATTCTCCAGTTTCACCATTTAAAATAGATTTGACATTCTATGACCTCACGCAGGGCAGACACCCCTGTGCAGGGGCCTCCTTCCCATCAGGCCCCCGCTCCCGCCCCCCGGACCCCGCCGGGACCCTCAGGCAGGCAGGGACCGGGGGGCACAGCACCAGCAGGGCACGGGGGGCGGCCACCATGTCCCAAGCAGCACGCTCAGGCGTGCACGTGGACACACCACTTCCACAGACATTCGTGTGCACACACTCCTGGGACCCACGCGCCCATGTGTACAGCCCCCAGCAAGCAGGCACCAGCCGTGCACCAAATGCACCATGTGCACCTGCGTGTTCATGGGGACACACACACACATGCAGATGCCGTCCATACGCAGCACTCACCCACACACGCAGATAGGACCTCGTGTCCACGTGCACAAAAGCCTCATGGCGGCACACACATTCCACACATTCCCATGTGGACATAATCAGGGCACAGGGCCAGCGGGACTGCTGGGTTCAGCCGTGCCCCTGGTCACAGCCGGTGTCTGTTCTGCGTCCTGTGTGCCTGGCCCCATAGCCTGGCAAACAGTACACCAAACCTGCATATAAAACACACACTCACTCACATGCGCCTTTGGGCAAATACACAGAGAACTATGCATGTGTGTACTATACACACATACATACTGCATATATGTCGTCAGCCCAGACTCACACACACAGGGAGATCCTCATGGGCACACACCTGCACAGCACTCCCATAAACTGTGGGTCCACACGCTCGTGTGCTCAGTCAAAGCTGTAATTGCACACATATGCTTGTACAGAGATGAGATGATGGCGCATGTGATGCCACACACTTGGTGCTCACTCTCACACACACACACACACACACACACACTGCCAGCACAGCCCCTTTCCCACGTAAGCAGCTCAGTGTGTCAGGGAGGAGGGCACCAGAGGCCACATTCTTGGCCCACTCCAACCTCCACACCTCCTAATTCTGGCTGTTGAGAAACTTCTTGGAAATCCCAGTGCCTGGGAGGGTGAGGGTGGGAGTATATGGCTAGACACGCCTGCACAGCACACAGACCAGACATCATGTACACTCACACACACACACACACACACACGCACACCCAACACACACACCCAGGTGCACAAATGCTCCCCACTCACCTGTGCTAGGCACACGCACCACACATGGCATGTGGCACATTCAGAGGGTTGGTGCTCTCCACACACACACGTACACGAACACATGCACGCACACACACACACACTCACACATACATGGGCACACACACACCCTCCAGCACACACTCCCCAGGGACAACGGAATCCTTGCTCTGCACACACACGGCTCCTCCCATCCACCCTCCCGTTTCAAGTGCACTAAAGAGGGAGACTATTTTGGTCTTTAGCACAAGCAATAAATAAATAAATAAATACAGGGAACGGGAAAAAAAAAAAAGAGGGCAGAAGAGTTTGAAAACGCAGCATCTGCCTCTGGCGAGAGATGAAAGACAGCTCAGGGCTGCTCTCCCGCAGGGTCTGGGGCTGAACCATCCAGCGTGGGACTGGGAGGGGGACAGGCCTGAGAGGAGGTGCACCAAGCCACTGAGGTGGCAGGGGCCTTAGGGGACCCAGAGGCTCTGGGCTCTGCTCCGGATGGTAGCAGTGGAAGCCTGCCCCACCCAGCCCTGTAAGGCTCTCCTGCGGCCACGCAGAGCAGAACACAGGCCCCTGTGCCGGCCCCAAGTGACTGGGGCCATCTCATCCCTCCCCCGTTCAGCCTGACAGTCTGGGAGGGGGCAGGCAGGTGAGCCCTCCCATATCAACTCTACCCTTGCCCCCCAGAGCTGAAATGGAGAAAGCCAGCCAGGCTCAGGGCTGGAAGCCAGGCCCTGGGCTGGGAAGGAGCTGAGGCCCCTCCAGCAGATCCTGAGAGGAAAGAGCTACCTCCACGGCCTGAAGCACCCCAGCGGGAAATGAGGCTGGGGCCTGAGGCTAGGGCAGGATGCTGGGAGTCAGGCATCCCTCAGGGCACAGACCCGAGGTGTCTATGGGTGGGAACCAATAGCTCGTGCCCAGACCCTCCAAGGCCTCCGACCTCAGGCCAGGTCTCCAGCTGCCCTGGGAATGGGTAGAAGAGGAGGGGGAGAGGAAAGAACCCTCATCCCAGGCCCCTGGCCTCCCCCGGCCTCCCAAGACCCACCCACCGACTGCGTGACCTTGCAGTCTGCCTCAGTTTCCCCACTCGGGCCAGGGTCCTGGGTGCCTAGCTGTCTTGGAGGGCACGGGTTGGGGTGGCCGAGGCTGGCAGGCTGGGGAGACACATACGGGCTTTCTAATTAAGGACTTCCTTATAGGCCTGGTCATTCGAGAGGACAAAATTCTTAGCTGTCCTGGGAAGGGCCTGGCCTGCTCCATCCCCGCCAGCTATGTCCTCTACCAAGAACAAGCCCACACTGGGCAGCCCGTGGCCCAGGGGCCTGCTTCCGGGCCAGCAGAGCCAATAGCTGCAAACTTCTTCCTGATGAGGCTGCCTGGATGCAAGCGCCACTCCCGGTCATCTTGGCTGACAACTGCACACCTCTTCTAAGATCATTCCTCCACCCTTCAGTGGGGGCAGCCTGGCTGGGACGCCCCTGCACTCACCTAGGCTGCCCCAGGTGCGGAGAGCGGGCCAAGACGGCCCACCTCTGCAGACACACAGGCTGGTGTGGACTTCGTGGTGGAATCGGGGACAGCTGGGAGGACCAGTGAGTCCGAGAAAAACAGAAACAACTGGGGCTGGCCCACCTGGGGTCTCTAAGGCACGACTCACACTGGGGTCCCGTGGGAATAGGGCCAATCTGCTTCCTGGGCGTCTGGGAGCCCACCCTCCCTTCCCACGGAGCCATCTACTCCAACATTTTCCAAGTGTCCCTCACTGCGGAAAGGGTGGAGGCTATCGGGCAGAAAAGGAGAGAAGTAAAACAGGAAAATCTGGTGGGGGTGGGGAGAGCGGACCCTCCATGGCAGGCAGGTCCCATATCCAGCCCTGAGACGCACCTCTAAGGTACAAAAAAGGTCAAACTAGTTTTTTTCCCAGCCCCTACCCCCACCTCTGTGACTCTGGAAAGCTTTTATTATGATCATTAACATGGTCTTGGTTTTTCCATCACAAACATCATCCAATCCGCCCGTGAGCAGAAAGAACCACAGATGAGCCCCACGCTTGCGCGTGCGGACGGCGCCGCCCAGCACACACTTGGCCTTCACGGAGGGGAGGCCTGTCCAGCCTCGGGGAACCTCATGGAGCCCCCATCTAATGCCTGCATCTCAGCAGACCAATGGAATTCTCACTGTCCATTTTTATAATCCCCAGAAATTAAATTTGTTTTGTCAATCACGTGTTAAATTTTTTTTTTTTTTTTTTGTAAACAGTCTTACTCAAGCTACGGTTGAGAAAGCCAAAACCAGTGTTTCTCCCCAAGTTAAAAACCAGCAAGGTACCCTGCAGCCTGCCAGCCTTCACCCACAGAGGCTGGATGGCCACTGAGCCACCTCCGGGCAGGCCACAGTTCTAGCCTCAGAGAGACGCCCCTGGCTCCTGGCCCGGACCCCAAGAGGCTACCTCCCTGCACCTGCTCCGGCCTCTGAGGCCAGTGGCGGCCTGCTTTGGTCGCCCATTCTCCCGCCAACCTTCCCAGGCCACTGTGAAGAAACATAAAACATCTAAAACACTACTGAGTCTGCAACCGGGGCACCTGGCCCGTTCTGCTCAAACCCAGGGCCCTCGAGGGACACCGGGCCTTTCCCTGGCGGGGCGGATGCTGCACCTTGGCCCATGGTGGCTCAGATCTCTGACTCCCGTCTGTAAGGCCGCTGCTCGAGGCCGCCACCACCGGCCTGAGGTCTGTCAAAGTCATGCCGGGCCTGGGGGCTGCGGCCATCCTGGTCTCCATCTGCCTCGTCCTCCTCATCGCGGCTCAGGAAAGCCAGCTCGTTCTCGTAACAGAAGGAGTTGGCACTGGGCAGCAGGAATTTGTTCTCCACCAGGTCCTTGGCGCTGCAGCGGGGTGTGGAGGGCACCTCGTAGGTCTTATGGAAGTGGGAGTAGTCGATCTTGTACTGGTTCTTCTCCTCGAAGAGGACAGGCTCGAAGCGGTGGCCCCACAGGATCTCGTTGGCCAGGTAGGAGCTGCGGGCCTGCGTGGTCATGGCCGTGGCCTCCACCATGCCCTCCAGGATGACCACGATCTCGAAGTCATCCGTCTCCAAGTCCTGCCGGCTGATGCCAAACAGCGGGCTGGCCTCGTCGATCTCATGCAGGATGGTGATGGGGGACACGAGGAAGATGCGGTCGAGGCCCTTGTCGAAGCCGACGTCGATGTCGATCTGGTCCAGCGGGATGTACTCGCCCTCCTCGGTGACCCGCGGCTTGATGAGCTGGGCCCGCACGTGCGCCTCCACGATGTGGCTCTTGCGCAGGTTGCCCACGCGCCACATGAGGCAGAGCTTGCCGTCGCGCAGGGCCACCACCGCGTTGTGGCTGAACAGCAGCGTCTGCGCCCGCTTCTTGGGCCGAGCCATCTTGGCCATGATGGCGCCAATCATGAAGGAGTCGATGATGCAGCCCACGATGGACTGCGCCACCACCATGAACACGGCCACCGGGCACTCCTCCGTCACACAGCGCAGCCCGTAGCCGATGGTGGTCTGCGTCTCGATGGAGAAGAGGAAGGCCGCCATGAAGCCGTGCACTTGCATCACGCAGGGCGTGCGGCCACGGCCCTCGGCCGGCTCCAGGTCGCCGTGCGCCACGGCGATGACCCAAAAGATGACGCCGAACAGGAGCCAGGAGGCGAGGAAGGCCAGCGAGAAGATGAGCAGCATGTAGCGCCAGCGGATGTCCACGCAGGTGGTGAACATGTCGGCCAGGTAGCGCTGCGACTTCTCATCCATGTTGGCGAACTCGATGTTGCACTGGCCGTTCTTCTTGACGAAGCGGTTCCGGCACCGGCGCCGCGTGTGCACCTTGCCGTTGCCGAAGCCGTTGGCCCCCGACATGGTGACCAGGTGCAGCCCGTCCTCCTCCGATGACACGATACTGTAGGGGTTGGCCCTGCCGGCCGAGGTCATCCCGGGGATGGGGGGGGCCCTGGCTCGCCCCCGGGCCGGCTCCACGGGGGGCGGCTCCTGCAACAGAGAAGACAGAGGGGCTGGCGGAACAGGCCAGCCCGGCCCAGGCTTCTGCCCCCACCCGGGGGCCTCGGCCTTGGCGGGTGGCCATCTGCGCCCTAACTCACCCCCCACTGAGCTCTCCATCTTCCCTCCTCAGTCAACCAGCCACCCTCCTTCTCGGCTTGGAAAACAGACCTGGAGCCTCCCAGGAGCTCTGGCCAAAAGCCTTGGCTTCATCCTCAGCCCATGTGAGCGCCCCCCTACCAAAGGCTCCGCTTCCAAAGTGCATTACGATCCTACCTCTTCTCCCAGCGCCGTGGCCTGAGTCCCCATCATCACGTACCCAGACCAGCACGGCGGCCGCCTCACCAGCCTTTGTGCTCTGGCCCCCACCCCGGTCCAGAGGCAGTGGGGGAGCCTGGCTGTCCTCTGCTCAAAGCCAGTCTCTGCTGGCACCTGCGAGGCCCGCATGAATGGAGTCCGGGGCCCCTCAGCTCTCAGGCCCAGGCACCTCCTCTCACCCGCTACAGCTCCCAGCCTGTGCGCTGCTCCTCAGGACGGGCCCTCACACTCTCGGCCCGGACACCCTCCCGCTGCCTCACCTCCCTCAGTCCCTGGCCTCCGTGCCCAGGAGCAGCTTCCTGAACCCGTGGGAGACTGTAACCCCTCACCCAGGTCCTCACGGTAACCCCAAAGCACCGACCTCTGACACTGTAACAGTAGTAACAGTAACGGGAAGGACAGGCCTGGGGTCGCACTCACCCACCGATCCCACCGTGAGACCACTGGCCTCCCGAGCGTGGTGAGTTTGCCGTGTGGTTCACTGCTGTCTCACCCCCCGGGCCTCGAGCAGAGCCTGGCCCCGAGGATGCCCTCCTGATGCTCGAGCCCTGTACCCCACGGCACCCACTCTCAGCACCCATACACCACAGCCTCCATCCGTAACTAGGAGGGGGTCCACGGGTCAGTGCCCAGAGGTGTCACTGACTGACCCCATCCCAGTGGCCTTCCCATCACTGCCTTTTTCAGCTCTAAATGACAGCATGTAGGGAACACTCAGAGCGCCACTGTCCTTGGCCTATTCAGGGGAGCACTTGGTGGGCTTGTCGCGCGCACACACACACACACACACACGTACGCACACCAAGCTGTCTCAGGTATGTCCCACGGCATGACACCTGCAGCCGGACACACTTTCAGGCCCATACCCCACGTTCAGCCCCCAGACGGGCTGGCAGTGGCCCCTCCCCCAGGGCCTCGCCGGCTCCGGGCTGGCCTGTTGGTGCCAGGCCGAGGCACCTGCAGGCCAGAGGCCATGGTGCCACCTGGACCTGTGGGCACTGAGGCCATCTAGCCCTTAGCGTCAGGGCTGCAGGTGTTCAGGCCCTCAGCCTGGCTCAGCAGGGCTGAGCTGGAAGGAGGGGGAGAACCCTGGCCGGCTGGCCTGGCCAGGATGCTGAGTCGGGCATACTCCTCTCCACCACTGGGGACTCCATCCACCCCAAATCCCCACCTGATCACACCGGGAGGCCAGTGTTAGACAAAGCTGGAAGCCCTCAAGTGCCCAGAAGACAATGAGGCCCCAGATAAGAAGGTCCCAGGGCAGCTGGTCCGGAAGCAGAGGCAGGTGGCTGAGCACCCACCAGAAACCCAGAAACTGGAAGCGACACAGTCAGGGGGAGGCAACACTGGGATTTAGCCCCAGTCTGTGTGACCAGGTGCAGCCAGGGCCTCGGAGGGAGCACAACATCTGACCTCTGCTTCGAACACCTGGGAGACAGGTGAGGGAGAAGTCCACATGAGCAGCCAGGCTGCACATCCCTCCTAGGGTCTGTCTCTGTTGCCAGATGCTTCTGAATCCCCAGAGCGGGCTCGTATGTAACACTCATGGCCCTTACTGCCCACTCCTCAAACTGCAGAGAAAGCAGGCCAGACACATTAGCAAATGGTCTTAGAGTATCCTTGCAAAACCCCAAGAAGGTGGCTGCCATCATTGCTTCTACCATGAATGGAGATTCAGAGAGGTTACGTGACTTCCCCAAAGCCACACAGCCAATAAGCAGGAGAGCAGAAATTCGAACCAGTCTAGCTAATGAGAGGTCTCCTGCCGTGGGCACGTCAGGCTCTGCGGGTGGCCTCTTCTCACACTGCCACCGCCCCTCACAGCTACTCCAGCTGACCACCTCACCATAGGTCTGAGGAGCTGAGGCCTGGGGCTGTGAGGGTGGACGCTGCTTCTGCCTGGGCCAGGAGGCAGGGACCCGGGGGTGGTGGGGACCCCGGGTACTGCGCCAAGAAGATGGCTCGACCCCAGATTCCTGGGCCCTCCAGGCGGAGGAGGCCAGGGCCCGGGCACTTAGGTGCTTGCAGCAGGCCGCTGGACTGCAGGGGGCAGGTTTATGTAGCCTGGATGCCTGGAAGGACGTCCAGTGGGTCATGGCTCCTCCAACTGGGGCTCTGAGCAGCTTGAGTACTGCAAAGGACAGAATCAGAAGAATCAAAGGCCAGAGAGCCCAGCCTGGCGCTCTGCTACCATCAGCTGGGGAGCCCCACACCTGGCCAGCATCCAGGCCGGGATGGGAACTTCGGTGACTCCTGGTGTTTCTCCCTGGACTGGGCACCTGGAACCCACCCAGACTGTGTCACGCAGGCTTGGGAAACCCCTCTTCTGTTGATGTTCCTCCTCAAACCACACAGAAAATCAACAGGTTCACGTTCACACTTGCTCCCCTGTTTCTCAGCTAGCAACTGAGACTATGAGCAGAGTCACTGTCCAAAGTCACCCAGAAACTAAGGTTTAGAGACAGAGTTAGAGCTCCAGGTATTGGTCCAGTCCTCAGCTTTCCATGGTTCCATCCTGCTATGTGTGTATATATATGTGTGTACGTGTGTGTGTGTGTGTGCATGTGATGCTAGGGGTGTGGGGAGTCCCTCCCAGGCTCTTGGTGAATGCAGCTCCACAAAGAAAGATCCGGAAGAAGACCCATGAGTAAAAACCCCAGCACCACAAACTTGACAATCATCCCAAGGACACTCCACATAGACAAACACAGGTGTGGCAAGAAGGTCATGCAGCCTTGAGATCTTTAAAGACTCGATTTAAGAAATGTGGGACAGCATCCCCAACCAGGGATATGTAGGCCGGTTGCCTACACTCTTGCTCAGTGGATGCATACAGTTAGATCAGAAAATAAATGTTATTAGATTTGTTTTGCTACAAGAGGCCTCAGCAAGTAAGGAGACCAGCTCCCCATTTCATAGATTTGAGAACTGAGGCTGAGACCTGTCCCAGGTCACAAAGCAGTTCGTGGGCTTGGATGAGACAGTAAAGGCAAGGGTTAGGATCACTGTTGGTAGATGCCCAGATCCCCCAGTGGGGACCCGAGGCATTGTCTGGAGGGAAGCGGGAGAGAGGCTCCGGGGTGAGCTACCTGAGCTAGACGAGGTGACTTCGACACTGAAGGTAGGTAGCGAGGCAAGTCCAGCAGGCAGAGAAGGGGACGGTGCAGTGTGCACATGCAGACTCCTCCGGGAGATGGAGAAGCTGTCCTCAGCCCTGCTGTCTCTTGAGCCCACTTGTCTGCCGGCCACAGATCTATGGACACAGACTCCTAGCCACTGGGGCGTTTGGAGCAAAACAGGGCCTGGGCTGGGAGCTTTTAGAGAGGCAGCTACCACATGACCCAAAGGTGGGGCCCAGAAGTCACCAGGAGGTGCCTCTGGATGGAGCAGGACACCCCATGGCCTGTCCCCTGAGGCTCTGGGCACCTCAGGTTTCGGCAACATCCGGCAGAGAAAGAGGGCAAGGCAGGGGCCCCAGTCTCAGATGTCAAGAAAGCACTAGCTACAAGAGCTGGGGCAGCTGAAGCCCCCCCCCCACCAAGCCTTTCAGCTGGCCGGAGTGCTTCAGAGGCAGGAGCGCACTGACCAGTGCCCGCTGTGCACGCTCTGCATGCCCGGCCCGGTTCGAGGAGCCCCAGTGACCTCACTTAATCCCTGCAACAACCTTATGACTATTATCCCCATTTTCCAGGTGAAGAAACTGAAGCTCAGACTGAGTCACTTGCCCGGGGTCACATGGCCCCTAAGCAGCAAGTTCCCAGTCTAGAATGTGGAAGAGAAACCGACCCCTGTCGCCCCCAGTCCCCAGGGTCAGACCGCAAGCCTGACACTGAGTTCCCGTCTCAGTCCTTCAGGCCCCGAACCGTGTGCCAGTAAGACAGACAGCCCCGAATCTCTGCACTGAAAGCAGAGGTGAGCCCCTCACGTGCGCCCCTGACCCAGGGCCATGTTTGGAACGTCCGGGGATGGGGCACTCACTACCTCGTGATCAAAGCCTACAATGGGAAAAAAACTCTTCGGAGACCCCGTGGTTCCGGGACAGCCAGTGCATGGCCTGCGGGCAGCTGCCACCACCTCCCCCATGTCCCGGGACAGCCTCTGCAACTCTCCTACTCTAGGAATTGCCGACATCTTTAGCGAGAGAGCTTGAGAAATCCAATCTTCAAGTTGCAGGCAAGGAGACTGAGGGTCTGAGCAGGGCTCTCGGACTCTGTCACACCGGAAGTGAGAGCTAGGGCCGGGGGTGGGGCAGGGAATGCCCTAGTGCCTGCTGGTTGGGGTGGCGGGGAGGCACCAGGAGCGAGGGGGCTACCCAGGAGCCCTTGAGGAGGCCGAGGTTGGCGTCGAGGGGAGCCGGAGGGCTGGGAGCACTGTTTCCATTCTCACACTGAGGAAGAAGACGACCATCTCCTTGGCCCCTTCCAGGCCAAATTCCCTTCCCCTCCCCAGAGCACAGACCACCTTTGCCTGCAGTGCACACCACGGCCTACACACATTCAGAGTGTACACAGTGCAGGTTTTCTGGGCCAAGCCCATGCTGGGTGCAAGGAGAGAAATAGCCAGACTAGCAGGACCGCGGAGATGGTCACTGGTCCCCCTGTGCGCCGGGCCCTCACCGCCTCAGGGCCTGTCTGCTCCATTTCCAACCACTGATACTAAGCTTTTAGCCCGAAAGCTCTCTCTGGCCACTGGCCTGCACTGGGCTCCCACTTCAGAAGGGCTAGGGAAGGAGTGCTCCTAGAGCAGGCTTCCTAGAGGAGGCAGCTCCCTGCCCCTGACAAGCGTACTCTGGGTGCCTGGTCTACACTGCCTCCCCAGACCCAAGCCTCATCTCCCAGAAGTCCCCCAGTACCACTGGCCAGTGGGGCTCCTCCTCTTCTCCCAAACCTCTTCCTTCCTCCTATTCCCCTCCTCCTCCCCCTCATTCTCCCCTTCCTCCCCCTCCCTGTCCTCGCCCCTCCCTCTCTCCCTCCCCCTCCTCCTCAGAGGCCCAGAGAGGCTGGAGCAGGCCTGGCTCAGAGGAAACACTCACCAACCAGACGAAGGGAGGAGGAAATGCGCAGCGGAGAAGCAGATGGATGAGGAACGCGATGGACCGTTGTATGAGGTGAAAGACAGGTGCACAGGTGGGCAGTCAGGGACATGATGAATACACGGGACTGATGGGTGGATGGGGGGATGGGTGGTAGCCAGGAAGATGGACGGGTTCGGCGGACAGAAAATAATTCAATGACTTGGGTGGATGGCTTAGTGGCTGGATGAAGAGATGGACGGGTGGGCGGGCAGGCAGATGAGCAGACAGATGGACGGCCAGATGGATGGGTGGTGGATGGAAGGACACAGTGGTATTTGGGTGCACGGATGAGTGGCTGGGATGGTGGGTGACTGGCCGGGAAATGGGTGGAAACGTGGAAGGAAAGACGGCTGGATGCGCTGGGAAGGTGAGTGCACAGGTGGGTGGACGGCAGATGGGTGGGGGGTGTGTGGAGCTAGGCTGACAGCGGGTTAAGGAGAGGCTGGAGGGGAGAGGGACAGGTAAGTAGACAGATGAGTGTCTGCTTGCCGGATGGCTAGATGGATCGATGCCCATCAGTGACCTCCATTTACCTCTTGATTCCTATCTTCTAAGTAACGGTGCTGAGCAGGCAAGTGGCTGTCTTCAAGGCTGTGCCAGCAGCAGCTGCCATTTCCCAGGCCCCAGCTGAAGAGGAATCGGTCGCTACAAGACCCTAAAGTTAACAGAGCAAAGCCAAATTACTATAGATGGTGCTGCTCTCCTCACAATGGCTCCAAAGTCTGAGATTTCCACCTAAACCCACATTTCTGCTGCTTCCCTCGGGGTCCCGTGAGAGGTGGGAGAGGCCTCCGGCCCACACCTCTGACACCCACACCTTCGCAGCTTGCGAGTCTGTCTATGAAACCGTTCCAAACCAGTGGAGGGCAGAACAGGATGGGTCCCGGGGGAAAATTACAGCTGGTAATTACGGAGTGCCCACTGATTGCCAGACACTGTGGTAGGTGTCTCAGGGACATTAGCTCATGTTATCCTCACAACAATGCCACAGGGCTGGAACCATCCCTGTTCTCATTCCAGAGAGGTGGGCAGTACGGTAATTTCCCCAAGGTCACAGAGGAACTCAGGTCCCTAACCTGTGCTCCTAGCCACCACCTGCAGAGCCCTCCCAGGACCAACCACAGGGTTTAAGCACGGACAGACAGAAGGACAGACGGACGGATGGATCATGGATAGATGGATGGATGATTCGTAGGTAGGTGGGTGTGTCTATGGCTGGATTATGGACGGATGGGTGGGTGGGTGGATTATGGGTGCGTGTGTGGGTGTGTGGTGGATTACAGATGGACAGATGGGTGGGCAGGCGTGTGGATGGCGGATGCTAGACAGACGGATGAGTAGGTGGGGAGAGGAGCAGGTGAATGCATGGCTGGGTGGATGGATGCAGTGGCGTGGTGAGCAGGACAGATGACTTTACAGATGAGTGCATGGGTCATAAATGTCTCTACGGATTGGTGCATGTTGGTAACCTGTCAGACACTTGCCTTGGGCATACACACACCTTATGTCGTCCCAGCAACCCAGAAGCCTCACTTTTCCCACTGTCAAAGGGGCCCCTGCTTTTCTCCCCACCGTGCTGTGTGGATGGGAGGACAGTGTGGCAGGCGGGCCCTCCGTGAGCTTCCAGAGGCAGACCCACTCACCTTCCCCCACCTCCCAGCCACCGAGGCCACAGAGCCCCACCCCTTCACAGCTGAGCTGGCTGCCGTCCACTGTCGCACTGGCTTTTCTGGCTGGGATCAAGGGCACTGTGGGTGAGTCACCCCAACATCATAAGCCTCCTGGGGCAGGTGACAGCGATGGGTGTAGAGGCACACAGACCTGGGTTCAAGTCCTCTGCCCGTCACAAGCTGTGTGACCTTGGGTGACTCACTTCCCCCTTCTGGGCCCCTGCTCATTCCATAAGGGAATGTCCTTCTGGTTCCTTTTCACCTTCCAGGCTCTTATCTCAAGACTCCCTGTCCTCAGCCCCCTGCTGCCCCATCCCTCACCATTCCCTGAGCAGCGGCTGTGGGTCTGCAGGGTTCCTCTCTTAGAACTGACACCCTGGAAGTGATGGGGAAATTGAGGCCCAGGAAGGCTCTATCATGGACTTACATCACACTGGGAATCTCCATTGCAAAGACTTGTGCCCAAATCCCTGATCTTTGCCCTTCCCCTAGAATGGGCAGACACTGTGCCTGGCCTGAGGGCCCACTCCTATCTTCAGTTACTCCAACATTCAGTGTCACCTTGAGGGAGGGCTTCTTGTCCCGGCTGCACAGACAGGGATATTTGGGGCTCAGAGAGGCTAAGTCACTTGCCCTGGGTCCCCTGGAGCTGGAACTCCAAAAGATGAGCTGTCACAGGGCAATCTTTTAGGGGGAAAGATGCGAGACGGTCCATCCCGCCCCACTTTCTGTGGGCCTGCTTGGTCCTCTGGCCAGCCCCAGGTTCTCTCAGTCTTGTTTCTGATGCCCTAGTTCCTAAAAGGGCTTTCCTCAGACCCACAAACCCAATCACATGTGTTCTCACCTGTGAGGAGGGCAAATTGGTCCCATTCTCCAGGGAAACAGAGGCTCCGAGCAGAGAAGTGACTGGCCCAAGATCACAAAGCCACTGAGTGAGTGGCAGTTTGGAGATAGGAACTCAGGTCTCTGGACACCCTCTCCAGTACTCCACCTGTTACCCTGAGAGGACCACAGCAGCCCATGATGTGAATTCAAACCTCTGAAGTTCACCAAATGCTTTCCTGGGTCATGGGCACGGTCCCAGATTGGATTGGTTGGGGGGTGGGGTGGGGCTTGCACATAACATGGGAGCAGCCCGAGCCCAGAATGGCCAGACTGGCCCTCAGACTGCCAGGCAGCGAGGGCAGGGCCTGGATGGACCCTGAAGCTTCCCTACTTCCCCCTGCCAGTGCCAGTCTGTCAGCCAAGGCCAGGGCTGAAACTGCCTGGGGACAGGGTGAGGCATTTCCCCTCCCTGAGGCCCAGCTTCCTCCTCCACAAAATGGGCTGATGACACCGGCCCAGCGGATGTGCCCATGCAATTCAGTGTGGTAAGGGAGGTGAGCTCTGGGCACAGGGCCTGGAACAGCAGGGCCCTGCAGGAGGCAGCTGTCACCACCCCTGATCTCAGTCCTCCCTGGGGGATGGGGGTGGCCCGAGGGTGTCAGTGAGCCCCAATTCCCTAAGCCAAGGCCTGGATGACTCCAGCTCAAGAAGGGCCCTTCCTGGGCCTCAGCCTCCTCCGTTTGCAAAAGAGGTACAGCCCACCTACCTCCGGACAGTCAGGGGAGCAAAGGGAGGCCCTGTCGTGGTGCAGACCTAGGGTAACGGCCAGACCCTCCAGGGTTCTCTGGAAGGTTCTCTTGCAGGCTCTGAGAGCAGACATGGAGATTCCCGAGAGGATGGAAAGGTGGCATATGTATCCCTCGCCCTCCCATGCAGTCCCATGTGACCCTCTCAAGATGCACCCCAAGAGGCCGGGAAGCAGGAGAACCAGGAGCTGGCAGAGCCTGGAGCCTGGCCACCTCCCTCCTCTGTGCCCAGCAGATGCTGCTGCCACCACCGCAGGCAACCCTCAGGCCACTCCTGCTCCACGGCCTGGTGACAGGGCTACACACTCTGATCCAGGGACAAGCTGGGCCAAATGGCCAGCAGAAGTGGACATCTGCCTTCTGAGCCCCAAGGTGAAGCCAGGGCAGGAGCCTCTGGCCCCCAGGATGGACAACAGTTCATGCCAGACACTGGGGGATGTTTTGGAGGGTATTTTTATCTTGAGAACATCCTTCTACAGCAGGTGGGGACGGGAGGGAGACAGGGTGTCCCTGGCCCCAGGCCTCTGGGTGTAGCCGAGGACAGAGGCCCCTGGGAGCTCTCTGCTAGAGCGCCATTAGAGACCTGTCCCGAATCTCCCATCCCAGGAGCATGTGGGACCTAAAGGGTCTCGGGGCAGGTGTCTGTCCCTCTCTGGGACTCCCTCTTACAGTCAGCCCTTCCTGAAGGCCTGCTCAAGCTGGGCTCAGCTGGGCACCAGTGACTTGGATGGACCAGCAAATGCCTGTCCTCATGGGGTGCCCTGCCAAGCAAGGGAGATAGTGAGTAAACCAGCAGTCACAACAAGGCTGGCTCAGAGTCACAGTCAGAGCCCTCAGCGCCCAGGACAGATGGCTAACCCAGTCGGGGTGCAGGGGGGCTTCCTGGAGGGAGCAACAGGAGAAAGCCCAGCCTGAGATGAACCGCAGTGCTGTCAGTAGCACCTAGAATCCCACGGGCTACGGTGCACATGGGGCTCTGCTCCTCACACACTGGGCCTTGGGCAAGGCTCTCTCCACCTCTGAGCCTGCTCCCCTGTTCCTATCTACAACCCCAGGGGCTGGCCCTTCCAAGCCCAACATTCCAGAATCCTAAAGGATTTGGGGCTGAAGAGGGTGTAGAGAGACAGACAGGGACGTCATCATCCTACTAACAGAGAAGTCCTGTGTGTGTAGGCACTGCGGCCAAGGTGTGACACTGACAGATGAAGAAACTGAGGACCTGAGAGGTGCCAGATACCATACTAGTAACCTTGGACTTGATCCCAAGGGCAATGAAGTGTCAGAAGGAAACTTGAAAGTATGATTTGGGGCAAAATGACCTGGGTTCAAATCATATCTCTGTCCCTTCCTGTGTGACCTTGGCAAATCATATACCCTCTCTGAGCCCATCTTCTGACTTGTAAATTGGGATTAATAGTGATATCATCTCATGGGGTTTCATCAAGTAAATACATGGAGGTTGCCCAACTGGAAATTTCCTGGTTCCCCACTGCCTCCCATCACCACATACCTGAGCCCCAACTCACTCTAGAGAGGGGGCATGGGCCCCTGGAGGGCCTGGGCTGGACCTCACTCCAGGCAGGAAGGAAGGAACAGATAGAAAGAATGGGAAGGAACCCCAGGGGGAGGTACACAGTGAGCAAAGTCACCGTGGCCTCTATTTTTCTTAAAGCTGTAATTTTTCAAGCTTCAAGTTAATTGGAGTCTCAGACATTTCCCAAGCACCCAGCATGTTCACAGGAGAGCAAAGACCTGAGATAAAGGGACAAGAACAGCCTGGCACAAGGAAGACCGTGAAAGATAAGGCAGGAAAACTTACCAACATAAAAATATTTACAATGTTGGGGCACCTGGGTGGCTCAGTAGGTTAAAGCCTCTGCCTTCACCTCAGGTCATGATCCCAGGGTCCTGGGATCGAGCCCCACATCGGGCTCTCTGCTCAGCATGGAGCCTGCTTCCTCCTCTCTCTCTGCCTGCTTCTCTGCCTACTTGTGATCTCCATCTGTCAAATAAATAAATAAAATCTTTTAAAAAAAAAGAAAAAAAATATTTACGATGTTGTTTATCAAAACCCATCATAAACAAAAAAGGCAAATGAAAACGTTTACTATAAAGAAGACTGGTGCACTGAATATACAGGGTTCGTATAAATCAACAACAGAAAAGGACACGATAGGAATGAACACAGTGCTAGAGGTAGGCTCTCCACTGAAGATCGTGTGACCCCTAGCAACTGATGACTCAAGAATGTCCATGCCTCAGAGCCTCAGCATGAGGGGGCCCCTCCCAGGGGAATACCTTGAGCTGCCTTCCAGAACTCAGTGTAGCCTTCAAGCATGAAGGATACCTCCTC